AGGCCTTTGACGTTAGGCTCTGTGCGCGTCTAGCAGGCCTTTGACGTTAGGCTCTGTGCGCGTCTAGCAGGCCTTTGACGTTAGGCTCTGTGCGCATCTAGCAGGCCTTTGACGTTAGGTTCTGTGCGTGTCTAGCAGGCCTTTGACGTTAGGTTCTGTGCGTGTCTAGCAGGCCTTTGACGTTAGGCTCTGTGTGCGTCTAGCGAGCCTTTGATGTTAGGCTCTGTATAAGACTAGCTGGCCTTTGACGTTAGATTCTGTATAAGACTAGCTGGCCTTTGACGTTAGATTCTGTATAAGACTAGCTGGCCTTTGACATTATACTCTGCGTGCGGCTAGCTGGCCTTTGATATTACACTCTGTGTGCGGCTAACTGGCCTTTGACGTTTGTGTGCGGCTAATTGGCCTTTGATATTAGACTGTATGGCTAACTGGCCTTTGATGGTAACGTCTGTGTGCGGCTAGCTGGCCTTTGATATTAGACTGTATGGCTAACTGGCCTTTGATATTAGACGCTATGTATGGCTAGCTAGACTGCTGGGGCAGGCACTTTTTGCAGCTAGCTGAGCTCCTGGAGGCATGCTCAGGACAGAGGATGGGTAGAGGATGATATCTTTAGACAGCTTTGAGACTCTTGGGCACTGCCATGTCGGTATGGCAGGGAGGAGGGGAGAGTGACAGTGGAGACAATCCTCTGTGGCGGTGTGAGACATTTCATGATGTATACAGACACGCCTGCTGGCCAATGGAGGGTCTCATTCCATTGCAGAACCTCCAGTAAGCAGGAGGCTGCCATGGTGGAGGGACACTGTCTTCAGATGGAGACGTGCTGCCATCGGTATGGGAGTAAATGCTTTGGTGTGGGAATGAACGTTGTACTGTGTTTGTTTTTGTGACAACTGCTGCTGGTCAGATAATTTTGTTGTCGGACAGTTTCTTTCATACAGGAGTGGATGTTTTGTTGTGGAGATTGTTAAGGGAGAGATCATTTCGTTGTGGGACAATCGCTTTGACTTTGGTAGTGACTATTTTGGTGTGGGGGTGTTTGTTTTATTGTGGGCTGGCCAACCCACAGTATACAACAGATTTCATTCTATTTGAGCTTCTAATTAATTACCCCTGATTGAACTGCTGTTAGAATGAATCTGTATATTCAGACAAGCCAAGACTGAAGGTATAGATAAACACAGCCTGTAATTTTTTGTTTCAATGCTATTTCAATCATTCTTAGCCCTTGAGCAATCAAGTAAGGCCTTGATTAAAATCATTTTAATACTGATTAAGTGTTTGTTTGCATCACACAATCAAATAACGGCGTGCAAAACACAGCAGCACCGCACTGTTTGTAAAGATAAATATTTATTAATTGAAATAATGAATGTCACAAATTATTTTTCGCAAGAAGCATAACTTGAAGTCATACTTTGAAATTATGTTAGTTGATTTAATCTTTCAAAGTGGCATTCCAAAATGACATTGCGTTAGAGGTTCCATAACACATATTCTGTTTAATTTCTGAAGAATTACATAAATTATACACAACGGGTCTCCAGCACCAGGACTAAAAAAGCCCGTTAATCATGTGTATCTAAAAACTAACTGGATCACAGGAACTGAATCGTTAACACGAGCATCATGTTTGGACTTGAACCGCTCAGGCGAATGGACTTCATGGGGTGAGAAACAGTTAAAATAATGCGGGGTTTTCTTTGAGAAGCTCGGAATGGTACTTCCGGATCATGACTTACGGCTAAATATCTAAAGTAGTCCTGATTATTATACACTTATGGGATCTCGATGTTAACGGTTTCAGTGACATTTGGTGAGATTATCCAGTTAAGGTAACTGATTAAACATATCAGGTTCACATTTCTTTGATAATAATGATAAAGGTTCGAGGATAAGGGCAGGGCACCCCTGTGGTTGGGGGTCAAGTTCACACACCACACAGTAGATGACCAGGGCTCCCAATGTCCTGTTTTCCCACATGCAGGGTGTTCATGAACCAGCAATGTTCAGAGATACCTGAAATGCTTGCAAGGAGGTTCAACGCCGTGTGGTCTTGCGGACCCTGGTGTGACCCCCCCCCCCCCCTAACATTTCACCATGCTATCTCTGACAAATCTTTTTCAAGCACAAACAAATCTCTCTGACCTTCATCAAGGTACGAAATGGAGTCCCTGCTAATCTTCAGGCACATAGGGTGCAGCGCGTTGGGTGCAGGGGGTTCGGTGATAAAGGGGCCAGCAGAGGGGCCCCTCTACCACCCCCCAGGGTGAAATCTCGGAATCGTAAACACCTGCCTTTTATTCAGTGGAGATAAAGTTTCTCAATAAGACCCGTGTGTGGTGCCGGGACCTGAGGGTATCATGGAGGGATGGGGATGCCTTTATTTCACAGCTTTCATTTGCGCTCAGAAGGCTGAAATGTGCCTGGTTTTCAACAGTGACACCTCACTGGACGGGTGTTCTGCGAGCATGTCTTGAGCGATCGAGGCACTAGCTCACCGAGAAGTGAGAAGTGCCTTGTAGCTGGGACACAGATTACCGATACATGAGTAAATGTTAATTAAGATGAGGCAAGAAGTCAAAGGCACACGTCACTGCAAAGGATTCATAACAATGTGACCCACTTAGCCTGTCCAGAAGCAAAACAAATGCTGAGCTTGGAGTCCAAAAGCGTGCCAGATAAAATCTTGGCTGTTGTGTTACGTGCATGTTCCTGTTCGGCTTCTGAGCAGCCCCCATTTCCCTGCCTCTCCATTCCCCGTATCCGAGTCGTCTTCCCCGCTAACACAGCGGCAGTCTGATCAGCACTGGTTGCTGTGACAGAGAATGCAGGGAGGAGCCCCTAAATGCTTGTCTCTCACCCCTTTATTCCCTGTAAATGAGAGTGTGTCTCTTTAATTATGCATCCTAACCGCGGGCCAAGCATTTGTACCTAGCTAATGTTCCCATTAATGACTGAGGAGGTGTAAACGGCTGCCTGGCTTGTGAAGTTTGAGCTACACGCATTCAAAGACTGTGGTACCATGTCTACCGAGTGTGGGGAGGGGGCACCCAGTGGGGCGGGGGCTGCCATTAATGCTCTGATCACTACTTTAGACACACCTGCCATGGGAGAAGTGAGCCCACAACTTCACTGGGACTGGACACTGACTCCTGCTCATGTTCAAACTAACAGCGTTTCTGTTACCTTGTCCTCTTGGCTAATCTTCTCTGTGTCCAGTTCCTCTCCCCCTCCCCCCTTATCTTTATCTCTCTATCTTGCATAAAAAGCACGACTCAAATCACTGGAGAAAAATTAGCTTTGCCCATCTAATCGAATCCCCACGCTCTGCTCAGATCTTCCATGTTTTCATGAACTTGCCCCAAACTTCCCCTTGGTGACTGATGTTTACCGACGGTCCATGAACGGAGGCTCACGGCCCCCTGCCAGCTTCACTGTCCCCGTCTTTCCCCTTTCACTGAAAAACGCGGCGAGGCCGGCGTGACATTGGCACGTTCGTGTGGCTGCTCCGTGTTTGTCAGGCCGCGAAATTGTCTGCTGCAAGGTGGCAAATGGAAAATGAGAGAGTGACTGCGGTGCATGCTGGAGAGGTCGGAGGAGTCCACACGCATGTCACAAGGCATTATAAACCGCCAAGACACTGAGATATAAGAGACAATTTACCCAGAGGCGCTGATCCTCTCGCTCCATAACTTCTCATTCCAACACAGACCTTTGTAGAAACAAGCGATCCATTGAGTTCTTAAGGAATCCTTTTGATCTGCTCTTCCCTGTGTCTCGGGATTTCAACAGGATCACTTTATCAAATTGGTTTTCTTGCCACAGCCCAATTCTATATATAGACAGAAGAAAACACAATGTCACCTTTAGGAAGATTTCCCTTCTCCAGTACCAGTCTGCAATGAAAGGATCTTTCAACTCGACTCACTTTTTGCTAGATTTTTCAATTAGTTTATTTGTTAGTTAGACCAATCTGACTGCCATTTCCTCAACAATGTTTCCTCAGCATTTTGGGAATGTTGCATTTTGGCTTGTTTGGGGGATGGGCTAAGATGGTGGGGGGTGAGGGTTCTGTCAAAGGTGGCCTGTCAGCGCCAATGCGGTCGGGTCTTCCAAAATAGGCTTTTTGGCCTTTCGTTTTGTGACGCTACAGCAGGATTATGTGTAAGCCACCTGCAGATTTGGCTGTGCATACTTACACGGCAAGGGGATGAGGTCAAGAGGGTTGGATCAAGGAAGGTGGAAGCCCAGTTTTATCACCGCAGCAGCCTGTGCCGATCCCTCTCACGACTCCCTCCCTTTCCTCACAGATGATGTCCCGCCGTACTTCAAGACAGAGCCGGTGCGGAGTCAGCTGCACCTGGAAGGGAACCGGCTGGTGCTCACCTGCATGGCAGAAGGCAGCTGGCCGCTGGAGTTCAAGTGGATCCACAATGAGACAGAGCTGACCCGCTTCTCGCTGGAGTACAGGTGGGCCTTCCAGAATCCCCTGTTTCAGTGTGGCTCTTATCACTCTGAGCCGCTCGCAAACTCAGAGTGTCACACGAGCATTTATGTTAGCTGAAGAACTGCAGAGATAGGCTACCAACATGACCTCCATCTTTCTCTGCCTCCCCCTCTTGTAATCTTCCTCATCTTATCTGAGTCTCCTCACGCTCGGCCCCCGCCTCCCTCATGCTTTTGTGCCTAAGCCCCCGCCTAGCTGGTTTCACCAGAAATGCCGTCGCTTGGTCACATGTGAGCGCTGTGAAATAAGGCAAGATAAGGGACTTAACTGCTAACGCGAAGGTCACAGATGTTGGCAGCAATGAGCCTTCATGTCCTTGGGGCATATTTATTTACTTGTTAGGAAAGCTAAAATCACTGAATCAGTTCCCCCGTGCCCGTCACACTCTGCCCTTGCCTGTAGGTGGTGCTCTGGTGAAATATCAGCAATAAAAACAAAAACATACTGATCAGAGCCCTGGATCATCATGAACTCAAACACATGAGTGAAGAAAACTGTCCTGCATTACGAGCGCTGGACACGTACTGCAAAACAAGCTGCCACCCATGTTTCATTAGGCAGTGGGCAAGTTTCATTCTTCCTCACTGTTAAACATTATTAGACAGTTTACTACTAGCTCTACTTAGAGGAGGAAGTAGTCCAGGAGAGAAACAGAAGATGCAGAAGATCCAAAACAGTGTGCAGTCTCCAACATTAATGGCGCCAGCAAGTTTATGGAAACACCTCATGAAGGAAGCAGCATAAAGGTTCCTCAGCACACTCCACAGAATGGAGAAGCAGAGAAGAATCCCTGGGATAAACTTGGCCAGCCCATCATATGGTTTCATCTCATGCACTTGTGTCTTTCCACCATCTCCAGCAGCACTCAGACCCAAAACATGTTGTCCCAAGCCGTGCATCTCCATAAACGAGGGAGCTCACACGGCTGTCGCCTAACATGCTCCGTCACGGCCCCCCCACCCCGTGGACCCGGAGTGGCGGTTCAGGCCTACGAGTGGCTGCTGTCGACGTGCCGCTTTGAAATCGTTTCGTTAGTGGTTTTGGTTTTGTGACGGTTTTGTGCTCAAGTTCACGTCGATGACTCCCGTGTTTGTCAGGTTTCGGCAGGATAAGAGGGACACTCAGGGCTCCCTAACAAGGCGGGCTATCATCGGAAGGCAGCAAAGTCAGATAATTAAAGGATGTGTGTGATGTGTGAGGGGGGGTGCTAGGATGATTCTGCCTGTCTGTTCCTGAAGGGGGGGGGGTCGGGAATGCGGAGGGAGCTTATAAATCACCCTCCCCCTCAGGTTTTGAAAATTCACCTGCGAGACCTTGGCATCCCATTGCTATTTCCAGAACAGCAGCTGTGCATGCTCTCCCCCCCCCTGCAAGACTGTTTATCTCCCTCAGCAATCTGGAGCAAGAGCCGCTGAGACTGACGAGCCACAATGTTCTTCTGGAATCTCCAGTACCAGTGTTTTTGGTGTTTACAAGCGAGGAGCCCACTTCGTAAATGCGGTCACAGTTGCCAGATTCGTAAATGCAATCCTGCTTCACGGGCTGAGCCATGGCCACGGTGTCTGCCCCCACCCTCGGGAGCCCGTGGGGTCCGACGGGCAGCGGAGAGACGTGAAACGGCCACGGTGCTGCGGCTGAAGGGGCAGGTCGTGGTGCCTGGCTCATGCAGTCTGGGAGCTCAGAAGCTTGACAGACAGCTCTGAGGAAAATCAGCAGTTCAAGGCCTTGGAATAATCTCAAAGAGGTGCATTATGGGGCATTAAATAACCATTGATCTGTTGCTTTTAACTTTCAGGCAGAAAATGCAAAGCTCTTCCCCAGGGCACCGCTGCCTCACCCCATCTCTTCTGCTTGCCTCCCGTCCTCATCCCAGTCCAGCATCCCCACCCCCGTCACGGTTAATGACGGGACCTGACACCAACTGGCATCTGTGTAGCGCGCCAATCAATCACTGTCTGCCCCTCCCGACTGCAGGAGCCCCTGCTTCCTGTCCCCCTCAAAAGGTTAATCGTATTTATTAACCGTGCGTCGGTGAGCTGAAACTTCATAAAAGTCACTCTGAAGGGCTGATCCAAGAACGCCACCCATCCCATTCTACCCCCATTGCTCTCTCTTTTGGAGTGAGGGAAATGGCCACCACACCATAAACTAACAAAGGTCACCGCGCTGGGCATGCCCCGCGATTGTGCTCACTGCCTGCGTGTCGCCTCAGCTCCTAATTAGTCTATTAGTGTTAATAGACTTTGCACAAGGGCTAATTTAACTCACTTGGCTGGAAGTGCACCTCGACTAACCCCAGTGCTCGCCTGATACCTCATTACTGTCTGGTAATAACAGCTCCCATCGATCTGATTTTCTGTCAATTTCCTGTCCTCTCTTTTCCTCCCTCTTTCTTCTGTCCATTTTTTTTTCTCTTCCTCTACTCTTCAAACTAGTAATTTGCCATGGTTACTTCCCGCTGCTCATTGCCTTTGATGTTGAACTACTGTAATGAATCTCCCAGCTCTCCAGTTTTCATCCATCGGAGATGTATTTGTCCACATCATTAACATGCAATGCTTGATTATCGTCTGTGGGACCTAAAGGCTTGGTTGAAGAACATTAGGCCTCAGAGGGATATGCAGAGTAAGGTTTTGTGTGACCGTCTCAGAGAAAGGACTATAAAAGGCGTTCTCCAGCCTAAAGGCGTCTTCCAAGGTGCCCTAACCCTATGAAGGACATGATTTCCTGTTCTTTTGTGGCTTGATCTTTCTCTTCCTCTCCGTGTCACTCTCTCTCGTCCCTGATCCTGTCTGTCGGTATCTCTTTACCTCCTTCGCTGAATCGTACCTATCGATTGGCATCCAAGATCGATACCTTTTTAAGGCACTGAGATCGAACCTCAGATCTGATCCTCTTGCCCATCCTCCTCTCTGTCAGTGATATTCAGGCCGAGAGAGATGTTGCTTGCAGAAGTTTGTAACTTGGAGTCAGAGAGGTCATTTGCCTGTCAGTGAAATCATGGGCAGAGACGGAGCAACAAGTGGTTTATTAAAGGTTCTTTTGCGTTGTTGCCTTCAGTGTGTTCTATTCTTAAAGGAATGCGCACCTTCAATAGGTTCAGAGCAGAAGTGGGGCTGTGGTGTGAGGACTCGGCGGTTAGCATTTGTACCTCTCCCTTCCGAGGCTGCAGGGTCATATTCAGCCCCGGGTTTGTACGTATAGAGTTTGCACCTCTCCTGCTATATTCTGGTGAAAGACCTAGACTTTCACGCGTTTTCACCTCCAGCTGTTTTCCCCCAAAAACAGTGAAGGTGCAGGGCTTGAATGTGTTCCGTGTCGGCATGTATGTGGCCCTTCTAGGGTATAGCATGCCTTAGGTCCCGGGCTTTGGATCATCACAGTCCTGACTGTGTAACCCGGGCACTCAGTATGAAGACAGAACCATCTCTGGCCTGAGGGTATAGCCAGTCCATTCCTGAGATAATGGGCCTCGTCTTTAGACATGTGCTGGCTGCAAGGGGTGACTTTTTAACACCACAGAACAACTGGGCTGAGCCTTGGAGGGAGTCTCGAATTCCAGTATTTCCACCTTGGGCGCTCCTCGGACAGCAGCACTCTGCTTCTGGCCCGTTCACCAAATCACAATAAAAAAGGATGGAAATGAAAGCCAGCCCCCATGCCACGCTAAGCCTGCTAAGCAGTTTGACGGGCAAGCTGGCAAATCAAAGAGCGGGACTGTGGAAACCGATATCCAGTGGACTTTGCTACATGATCCCTATTGTTTTTTGGCTGGTCCTTGGAGGCTGTTTAATGGGAACAGTTGTGATATTTTAAGGGGGGTACAGAGGCTGCCTCCACGAAGCCCCACTGTAGCCATCGCCTCGAGCGATTAAGGTGGCGCTTGATGACTGCGCTGTGCCAAATGGCAAAATTTATGACTCATATCGTTCCACTGTGCAAATTCACAGCGTTTAGACTTGATGCTAAAAGGATGCACACTGAGAGTCCACATGTTGTATTAGCATCAGCTACCGTGTGCGTTCAGCATGGCCCCCACGTTACGTACTTTCCCTTGCTGATTAGCAGTCTGACATGACCCCAGACTAGTGCTATGTTGGAAAGCTTTTATTATCACAGTACTCTGTCCAAACCAGTAATATCATCTACAAGATTCACGATCCATCCAAGAGTAGCCGCTTCAACTGCCGTTTGAATACAGTATGTTTGAGTGCCACCCAGTGGTCGGGGTTAGTAAATGCGGGACGTAATTCAATGACAGGAGCTTCAAGGTCATTGGGCTGGGGTTTATCTCCTGGCTTACTGGTTTACTAGATAATGTCTGCTACACTCCTATGGTAACATTTCTGACAATAGGTACCACTGAGGATCCTCAGGTAGATCAAGCAGATGACCGTTTCAGATGGTGTTATTCACAATATGTCACGCAAGCACCTTATCCCAGTGGGGCTTCCTTCACCCCCACGTGTCCTGCACTCACAGAGACACAGCGGCGCCTTCTGCCAACTGCTATGTCCCCATTCTGTCTGCCTTCTAGGTACCTGATCCCCTCTCTGGACCGATCCCACGCAGGTTTCTACCGCTGTATCGTCCGGAACCGTGTTGGTGCACTCCTGCAGAGGAAGACAGAGGTGCAAGTGGCCTGTAAGTGTGTGTGTGTGTGTGTGTGTGAGCGGGCGGGGCTCTGAGTCTGTGGTGGGTGTGGCTGAAATCAGACATCAATGTCACAGGAGTACTGGACTGATCGCCCAAACTACAAACAAATGAAATCAAACACAGAGCTCATTCTGCCTCACGCCGCATGAACTGGGCCAGCCTCTCCCCCCTTCTCTCTTTGTTCGGCTACCTCTTCCTCCCAGCTTTTATTTTGCCCCCTGGACTGGCTGTTTTGAAGTCAGCCTGCTCTGAAGTCAAACACCCACCATGTGTGAGGAACTTAGCTTCAAAACTGTTTCTGAGTCAGAAACAGCATCCTTTCATTTGCCATATACACAAAAGTACAAGGAATTTGTTTCGTTGCAGATGGTGGTGTGAAATATACAGGAATATTAACCAATAGTCCAAAAACAATAAATAGAATAAAAATTAAAATGGAGGTAGAAATAAAGAAAATGTGAAAGTATTGAACCAGTAGAATAAAGAAAGCAAACACCGCGGCAACATGGCTGCCTCACAGACCACCTTCTGGAATCTTCTTCAGTATACTTGGTCCTGTCCTCACCAAGCTCAATCACAGCACGTTTCGCTCTAACCCCCCAGCTGATGTGGATTTACAGAGTCCCTCTGTCCCCCTACATCCAGCTGCTCTTCAGTCCTAGCTGAAGGTTAACGTGGGTAGACAGACTTGCATAATTCATCCCCACATTCACAGGTTTGAGTAAATTCCTTACACTTCATTTAGTTTTGCTCCTTCTGAAGAAGCTTGGGTTGAAGGTTCAGACGGGTTCACCTGCATTTCCAGCCAGGAAACTATTAGCATTAAGTACCTCAGCAGTGAGTCCAGCACTGTAACCAGCGAGCCACCTGCAGATGTGGGGGGGGGGCTCACAGGTGCAGAGGATCTTCAGAGGAGCAGAGGATCTTCAGAGGAGCAGAGCTTTGCGTTTAATCAGTAAGCCAAACCGAGGCAATTAGGAGTTTAAAAAGACAACATGGAGAGGGGAAGATTAGGGCTCCATCGACCAGGAAAAGGGCAGATCAAAGTGAAGCCTCTCATTCAATTTTGTTAAATACTCCAGCAATATTCTACACCTAGATGACTGATTTATGCATTAAGGGGGGAAAAAGACACACCTGTCACAGTCGTTTGGAAACCTTGCACTACGAGTTCAAACCCAAATCAAGGAAACTTTATTCATCTGCCTTCTTAAAAAAAAATGCAGATTTTTATTAGTATTAATTATATTTTGGTTAATTAGCTTTTTGATGAATAATTTACCAGCCGTCTTTGATTTTCACCTCCCGCCACAGTGGTAGCAGATGGAATCCTCTGAATTACCTCAGGAAGAAAAAAAACTCATTATGTTCCGCTCTGGCCCCTATCCTTGTTTACGTTAGCTTAGCGTTACGGCTAGCTGCAAAATTAGGCAAGAAGGCTAGTTTTTTTTTAATTCCTTTTTAACGGCACTGTTATTAAGTGAGATAAGTGCCCCCCCCCCCCCCAAATCAGATCAGTTCAGGGCAGAAGCCTCATGTAGTGTTTTTGAGCCTGGATCTACGCCATTGGGGTATTCTGTTGGATTGGCTAAATTCCAGTAGCCAGCAGGCAATTTGCTAGCTGCCTGCAGGCATTCAGAGGAGTGTGGGGTCTTCAGTGCACCAGTGCAGGACACCCAGGCTGTTCCCTAGTTCAAATGCAGAATCCTGTTTCCCTATCGACCTAAACAATAGCTTGCCATTGGATTCTGATTGATTTACGGTATTCTGTGCTGCTGTAGGCATCAAGTTCACCTGAATAAACAAGTTTTAGGGTTCCAGACATTTGGCATTCCCCAAGCGGTAGAACCAGCAGCCTGGTTCCTAAAACCTTATATTCCTTATATCCTCCTTACTTGACAGTATCTTGACAACCCTCTTGCCCAACATGAGACGGCATCAGTCAGGTTTGCACAGGTGCCTGTAAGCACTGTCACTCAGAGGAGAGCAGCGTTTCCACTGCATGGCGGCGCGTAAGTGCTGCTCAGATCCTGAACTGTCTCCCCCTCCCCCTCCTTCCTTTCAGTCATGGGCACCTTCGAGGAAGGCGAGCGGTCCCAGGCGGTGTCCCAGGGGGATGGGGCCGTGATCCCAGCCCCGCGGATACGCAGCTTCCCTCAGCCGCAGGTCACGTGGTTCCGAGACGGACGCAAGATCCCGCCCAGCAGTCGCATGTAAGGCCCCGGTGGACCCCGAGATTTTTCCACACGTTTCCATGGCAGCATGTCCGTGCACCAAAAGCATAGTTGCTAACTATGTTAACAGCTTGTGTAGTTCGAGCTATGCAAGTACGACGCAGGTGTTTCCTGAAACCATAGTTCGAGCGAACGTTCACAAACACTGTCGTTAAGTTGTGTAGTTCAAATTACAGCTCTCGAGGTGTAGTTAGATACTTAGTTTTGGGTGACAACGTCATCGATGGTGGAAAATGCAGTCACAGGAGGGCAGTCACCATGTAAGTAAGGTGAAATGTTGTTGTAAATGTTGTTGTAAGAGTACGCTTTATGTACTAATCTGTTCATGTGTACGGTATGACTGGAGAGGATGTTGTTTACCCACCTTGTTTGTGCTATATGGTAGAATTCATTACATACATGAATATATATTTAGGGCTGCACAATTATGACATCACAATATCACATAGAGGAATATTGCGATATTTATAAAACCGAAAAAGACATGAAATTACCCGGAATAAATTACTGCCAAACAAAATTCATCTAAAAAAAGTGTGTCTAGTAAGTTGGTGGTGTTGTCGGGAGTTACGTCAACGGAGACGAAGCAGTTCCGGCAAATGCGGTGTGATTACTGCGCACACACATCGCGATGCCGATGCTGAAACGCTTTCATTCAGCGCTTATGTACACACAGTATTAAATGGGGAAAAACGTGCTGAAAGCTAATAACATACGGGCCAATTAATGGCTACAAATAACGAATCGCTTCTTAATAACTGAGAGCTTTCACTGCAATATGAAAAAACATTTTTTTTAAAAAGCAGTGATGCTTGAATTCAAACCCAGGGCCGCATAGGCGAGAACCCTGAGATACATATATATATATATATATGTGTGTGTCTGTGTGTGATTCCTACTGATCCAGTGTTAATAGTGTGATTAAAACTAAAAATAAAAATTGCAATTACAGATAGAGCTGATTTCATTAAATGCATTGTAGCCAAATAGCTAATAGTTCTTTTTTTCCTCTACAACAAGCATCATACAAATATCATATTAATATTATGATGCTATAGATATTTTTGAGTTTTTTATATTATTATTGCTGTTATATGACTGACACAATAAATTAATAATGTAATATCGGCTGAACTGATGTATTTAGAAATAAATATTACGATGTTTGTCAGTTTTTGCAAGCAACCCGCCATGAGAGTCATATTTGGAAACATTGTAATTTGGCCTAACAGGGTTCAAACTACTGTGGTAATAACAAAGTGGTTTTGGGAAACAGTCGTACTTGGGATGTAATTTAGTTTGAACCAACATAGTACGATGCATCGTTAATGGTAACTTGCATCGTTGTTTGGGTGACGCAGCCCCGGTCTGTCAGCACAGTGTCTGGTGCCTCTGCATCTCTCTCACTAGCCTTGTACCAGTTCAGTCTAGCACTTTGCCTATAATGTCACAGGCATATCCCTCTCCAAGGAAGCCTTCCGGACACCCCCCCCCCCCCCCCGTTCCCAGACTGCCTGTGTGTGGGGGCGGAAGCGTCTGTCTGGACATGCCTGGTTTTCAGCATGGCCATCATGAAAGGGGTGCCAGGCTTTTCTGCGGCAGCCCCCCTCCCAGTTTATCCAACTCCGCTGCAGCGTCTCGCTGTTCTTGACAGATCAAAATGAGTTTTTGGGGTGGTGTGTGGGTGTTTTTTTTTTTCTTTCGCTGCTCTGGCAGCAAATGAGGAGCAAGAAGAGGGAGGGGCATCTGGAAAGATGCCATGTGATTGGTCACTGCTCCAGGAAAGCGATCCTGTTATTAGTCATTACTCCAGCATGAGGATGGAGGCCAGGCGCTCTTCCTGTGCTAAACATTTACACTGAACTGACTAGCTTGACAAATAACTGCAGGATTTTCCTCTCACGATACTCATTGATTTCCACGCTGGACATCCTGTTCTGGAATCAGATCAGCGCCAAAGACCATTAATACAGAGTTGTGGTTTCCTCCCCTTCAGGTGAAGGGCCAAGTGGTCCGAGGCAGATTCTGGGGGACCAGGTCACCTCTGCAAGATGGAATGCCAGTATGTTCAGGGGGTGGTCTTCCATGGTGGGGATACTGGGAGTCAGATGAATCCGTGCCAATAATGGGCAGATCCATAGGTCCACCTCTGTTTTCTCTAAAGCCCTATAAAAGACACAGTAAATGTCCACCCCCCCACACACACACACATTATGCATAATGTGCAAAACTCACCAGCAGGGGGCTTCACACCCAGCTCATCCTGGCCAGGGTCACCCAACAGATCGCAGCTGGTGGGGAATCACAAGCTGTTTAAGATGATGGAGGGACGAAAGGGGCAACGCTGTGAGTGGATGGTCCAGATCAGAATCAGAATCAAAATCAGGTTTTTTGTGTGTGTGGCACACAGGGAGTTGCCTGTCCCACCCCCTTATCCTCACTGGGGGGTAGAAAATGCACATTTGTATGTATACCTGGTGTGATTTGGCTCCTCCCTGCCCCATCCTGTCCTGCACGCTGCTCTACAGAAACATCTGAAAACCTGCCAAGTTGGCAGGATGTAATTTCAGAGTGACTTGCAGGACTATCTGTCATCCAGTGACGTAAAGCCAAGAGGAAGCTGATAAATGTCTTTGTCCATCTAGTAGAAATATCTCTTCCCTCCCCAGCAGTGTACAGCGATGGATGCCCACATAATGTCCTGTGCTCCACCATGAATTTGGTATTTATTTACATATAGCCTAACAATTTGATCAGTTTTTTGTGATCTTCCCATTTACTTGGCCAAGGATTTTATCAATACAGTCAGGGTTAAGTGTGACTTTCATTTTACAAACTTGAACCACCCCCCCCCCCCTCCAAGGCTCAGACCACAGCTGTCAAATCCATATCCTGGAAATCAGTGCACAGGGGATACAGCAGGGAAAAGCACAGCCTTAGATTGGGGGAGGGGGCAGACAGGGGCAGGGGCATTGGTGAGCAGGAGGATCATTTTGGGCGGCTGTTTTGCCAGTTTGAAACGGCGCCCCACTGTCCCAAGGCCTCTGTGCTGGTCCTCTGTGGGAATATGTAAATCTGATCCCTCCTGGGCTCCTCCCCGACTGGCAGAGGCCCTTCATCTGACCCCCTCCCCCACCAAAGTTGCCCTCTATCGCTGCAAAGGCTCACTATGCCGCCTTCTCCGCAAGCCGCAAGGTTACTTTGTGCAAATGAGTGCCGGAGATAATATTTTTCTGAAAGAGAAAACCACTTAATTGAATTTGAACCGTGCCACCGGCACCACAGCAAAGGATTCTGGGAGCTGGAAACAAAGACAGTAACCTTCACAAAGGCCACCCCCCCAATGCCATACTTAAGAGGTACATTTCCTGGCAAAAACTCTAAAGGCCAAGCATCTCAAAATTTAAATCTTAAAAGCCAATATTGATGTGGAAATTCCATTCTTAAACAGCTAAGACCGAACTTTGAGATATAAGAAACCCAACACTGAAAGTGTGATCAGTTCTTTGTAGCCTATTATCCTCAACCAGTGTTCCATTAGATAAGAAGCCCTCCTCATTGTTGGGGACACAGTTCTGGGATGATCCAAGGATCTTGCCCTGCCCATATTCAACCTGGAGAACATGCTCCTGTGTTTCAACTTCATACTCGTTTTAAAGCATTCGGTCAGAAATGAGGTGTTGGGCCTTTTCGTTTAGCTTGATGAGAGCAGAGGCAGGGCAGACCTGGTGTTTTATTCAGCATCAGCTTGGTACACAAATTAACCTCTGCCCCTGCCTCATCGGGTTACAATCTTTCTCGCTCTTGTTATACTAACTGGTTTTTGTCCCGGATGTGGATATTTTTCACCGGGAACCAGGGACTTCTTGTGTTCTGCTTATTCACGCAGTTGCTTCGTCAGATCTGCAGGGAAGGGGGAGTGCAAGAAAATTCACAGGCTCCCACAGTGAGAAAAATCCTCTCTTGTTCTGCTGGATAATCTCACTGGGAGATGCTGATTTTTGTCAGGCTGCCAAACATTTTGGAAGAGGCCTCGATTTGGTTGACGGAGGAAGCAGCAAGCGGGATTTCCCTCTGGTCGGTAAAGGAATGAAGAATCCTTGATTGTTTATGGATTTTTTTGCACATTGGTTAATGAAGATGAGGTAATAGAGATACCACGTCATGTTGTCCTTCTCCAGCTGAAGAAACATCTCATGCAAGTACAATCATGGTGTCCTCACATAGTTTAAACAAGGGGAGCATGAAAGCTTTGCTGATTCTAAAGGAGCCCATGAACTTATACTTGGTTTTGATAAACTGGTCAAAGTGGCTTTTAGTGAATGATGTGAAGATAAAGATGAAGTGATAATAATGATAGATATAAAGGAATGACCTCGAATTTGTGAATATGTTTTGGGGATTAAAAAAAGCAAAAACATATGGATGATATAAAGAAATAAATTGACTGCCCAATATTTGTTATGCTTGAATGATTCTGGTCTCTTGTTCAGCCTTCCTCCTTGTGAAGTGAACTCCCCTGAGTCCTTTCTCTCTTGCCCTCTTTGCTGGACCTTGTTCTGGACTCTTTTCTGACTCTTTTCTGTGCTTGTAGCTAGGTTCAGATAGGTCACTTGCATAACCACTTCTTATAGAGGCTTCGCCTCTTGGCCAAACACTTGTCTGATTCTTATCTATCTCTGTGATCTGGACAAGAATCAATGAGTATGAAAAGAGGCGTCTCCTGTATAGGGCTCGTCACCTAGCATTGTGACATTACTTCTCGTTTGCAGTCAAGGCTGTGTAACCCCTCCTATGTGCCACACTGGCTCGTTTGAAAAGGCCCTTTGCAGTCACACAGCTCTGAGATCTCTGGGGTCAAAGTTCAGATTGCAGCAGCTTAACTGCCAGTAACAAAGCAGGCCCAGCCTGACTTGTACAGAGAGCAACAGTCCATTCACTGGTGAAGGAGTCTCTAGCTCATCTGAGCCCTGGGCTTTTTCTGAAGCCGCGACTCCATTTTGCAAAAAACAGGAATTTGTGTGCCTGTAAACCTGCAATTATTGGTCCTCTTAGTATGAATGTTTACCTGAATGAAAAGCATTTTCATCTTCTGGCCATTACATATTTTTTCCCATTTCTCTACATAAGAACATAAGAACTATACAAACGAGAGGAGGCCATTCGGCCCATCGAGCTCGCTTGGGGAGAACTTAGCTAATAGCTCAGAGTTGTTAAAATCTTATCTAGCTCTGATTTAAAGGAACCCAAGGATTCAGCTTGCACTACGTTATCAGGAAGACTATTCCATACTCTGACTACACGCTGTGTAAAGAAGTGCTTCCTTAAATCCAGTTTGAAATGTTCTCCCGCTAATTTCCACCTATGGCCACGAGTTCTTGTATTTGAACTAATGCTGAAGTAACTATTCGGTTGAACAGCATCCAAACCTGTTAGAATCTTATAGACCTGGATCATGTCCCCCCTCAGTCTCCTTTGCTTGAGGCTGAACAGATTTAGCTCAAATAACCTTTCCTCGTATGACATTCCTCTAAGACCAGGAATCATTCTTGTGGCCCTACGCTGCACCTTTTCTAAGGCCGCTATGTCCTTTTTAAGATATGGTGACCAAACCTGTACACAATATTCTAGGTGAGGTCTCACCAAGGAATTGTATAATCTTAGCATTACCTCCCTTGACTTAAACTCCACACACCTGGAGATATACCCCAACATCCTATTGGCCTTTTTTATTGCTTCCCCGCACTGGCGAGAATGAGACATGGAAGCATCAACATACACACCAAGGTCTTTCTCATAATCAGCTACCTTTATTTCAGTAGGTCCCATAAAATACCTGTACTTTATATTTCTGCTCCCTACATGGAGTACCTTACATTTGTCTATGTTAAATTTCATCTGCCAGGTATCGGCCCAGTCACTAATTAAATTAAGATCCCGCTGTAGCTGCTGAGCCGCTAGTTCAGTATCTGCTACACCACCCACCTTGGTGTCATCTGCAAATTTCACCAGTTTACTGTATATCTGTATTCTGTAGCTTAAATGGCTGAAATATCAGCTTTTACTCTTATTACTCAGATATCCAGGTAGCTTCTCAAAAAACGAAGGGTAGACTAAGACTTCAGCCTCTTGTTCTGCCAGATCCAGAGAACTCCAAAAGGCATGGCCCTCTCCAAGAACCTTTTAAGGAATTGGGAAAGGTCCATGCTGAAGTTCCAGACATTATTTACCTCTCTTCTGGCACAAGGGCACACCCTTGGTGTAATTACCTCCGCCATCTTTTATTGAAAATGATCAGTTAGCGTGCTGGCTGCAGATCCAGTGGCTTGTCACTGCATTATGGATTATCTATTACTGAGAAAAGGTGGTCCAGATTCCCGGGCCATTTTCTATTTGTCGTCTAGCCTTTGGGCTGAACGGTGCTCCTTTGTCGAGCTGCACTTGTTTGGACCCAGAGTGAGCATGAGGAACGTGTTGGCCTCAGTCCGCGTTCCCAGTCTACCACTGAGTTGGTTTCACACCCTTTCTCACACACTGCTGGGGCTAATGGAACAGCAAACGAGTTATTGCCCAAGATCCCAGGAGAAGAAGCTGGCGGATCTTTCTGCCTTTAATAACCTGACTTGGCCTCTGGTTCTACTTCATTTCAACAGAGTGCCCTGCGCTAGATTGGGCTAACAGAGGCGGGCGAAATTGATTCCCTGGGTCAGGTTTGTGTGGACGTTTATCCCACATCCTGCCTGCATGCCACTTGCCACTTGTGACACCCACCCTCCTGACCAAGGGGACGCAGTGTGTATATGAGGGGGGCATCTGTGAAAAGCCCATTAGTTGGAGGGTAATGGAGGTCCGCTAGATGAGAGAAAAGTGTTCTTTCTAGAGGGAACAAAACCCTACGGCAAGAAATCCCACCATCAATTTAGTCCTCGGAAATGACCTATCCCTCATTTCATGTCAACACGAAGCCATGTAACTATTAAACTGTCCTCACAAACACACACATGCATACACTCTCACTCTGGTATGGGGAACAGCCCCTAAATATCCTGACCTAAATGACTTGCTCATTCACCCCCACCTGCACCCCCTTCCCGACCCCTTGACAAAATAAACAGGCACAAAGCATAATTACAAATGGAGATGCTGGCTTCCCATGCCCAGCAGAGACTGCTGTTTCAGCTACTTCTTTCAAAATTATTTTTATTGCTAAGTTCCTGTACGTTGAAAAACAAAGGAGACAAAAAAACAGAAGCCAGCATTTCATTTTAATTTGTGGAGAAAAATGCATGAGCAGGTCGCCGTGTGGCACTGCCCAGATGTCCTGGCCCGTGGGCCGTCACGAGTGACCAACCACAAGCACGTCCCGCCTTTACTTTTCACTTACCCCTGGCAAACTTCCCCTCTCATGGCTTCCAGCTCGCCAGCTCTGTGACCAGACAGATCACGGGCAGAAACAGAAACATGTTAAAAAGCCATTCGTGGTTTCTGCCGTCAGATTGCCGACAGATTGTGATGGAGGTGAAGGAGAGGAGGGAGAGAAGGAAAACTAATGGACAAGGAGGGCATACATCAAACCCACGCCTGGCAGCGCCCATCAACAGCCACCGGCCTCCCTCCTCATCCATCTTTAAACTCTACCTTTCTTCACTCCTCCTCCAGCCCTAACTCCATCTATTTCAATCCCCACCAGTGTTGTTGGGCTCCGGTTCAGCTCCATGTTGTGCTCCTTTTACACCATCACCTAACACCCCCAGCCCACATTCTCACACCCCCACCAGGGCTCCTTCCATCCCCCTACTCCACGCCAACACATCGACCCCACGTCAGTTCACCTAAAAACAAATTGCTCAAATTTCCCACCACATTCTCATCCGACCCAGAACCCTTGCATCCTTTTTGCCCTCTGCAAAAATCAGCAGATCCTATGGGACAGTTTTTCCAATTTATTTTTTCTGTATAACGGCCGCATGATTTTATGTGCTTTGATCCCTGGAAGCCATTGATTTCAGGAGTGTGGGCGATGTGCAGGACGTCCGCAGTAAATGTTTAAAAAGGTCTCCTTCAGAATCGATAGCCGGGTCGAGGGAGAACAGTCAGCAGGGAAGCAAATTGAATAAAGTGGACAAAAAGCCTTCCCCGTTCTTCCAGTGTGTGAATAATTAAGTACACAGTACACACTTACCAGCCACCGCCATGTGAATGCAGGAGTGTGTGTGTATGTCTGTGTGTGTGTGTGTGTGTGTGTTTATTTGTGACGGGTGTCTAACTGAATATGTACACGTTAACATCTCTGTGGCGTTTGTGTGGCTCTTCGTGTTTCTGTGTGTGACATTGTGTGTGTGTGCTTGCATTCTGGCCTTTATCCGTGGATGTCTGTCCATGTGAATCTTCTTGGGTCCTTGTGTGTCTGGCAGTGTTCCCCTGTGACCCGGTCCATCTCCTGCACGGCTTCATTAGTGGCTTGAATGGCCAGTCAGGCAATTAAGGACGGAGGTCCATTGAGTCACCTGGCATTAACTCACTTGCTGTGGACAGAGGAAGAAGCCATTATTCATCCGACACCTCCAACTTGTCATATTTGTAGAGTGGTGATATTAAATATTTACTGTTGGATCATCAAGCTGGACTCTTCAAATCTCCCCCCTCCCATGCCAAAAACGCAGCGAGAATCCAAAATGATGATCCCCATCGAAGACTTTTGATGAAAGGCCTTTGGTGATCTGTGGCATTTGTTCGGCAAGTGGACTGAGCTCATCTCAAAAAAGCCTTGATGATATCGCTCTGCCAGCATGCGGAAACTCTGGGGGAGTAATTGCTGTTTAAATAGAGTCTCTACAGAGGCACGCTCTTGGCGTCAGACACTTAAATTCTCATCTTTTCTTTCCAGTAGCATTCCGCTTCCAGTCGGAGAGAGCTTGTAATTATCAGGAAAAACGGCCGCACGTTAATTTGCAACCGGAAAGGACAGCACTGTGCGATCATGCTTATCTCCTGTACCCGGAAATTTGACCCCATTTTGGATGAGTTGAGCCAGTGAGATAGCTGGAGATGACATCGGCCACTGAAGGAGGAATAAAGGGCTACAGACTTTTAAATCTCGCCGATAAAAGCGTTTTATCTTGTTTCTGCTAATTATCCTGCCGCCATCTCTCAGTTCCCACTGTGAAACAAGGGATTTTTCTTTTGAATTTGAGGGGTGATCTTTCTCTATTAGGCATTTATAAGCTAATAAACAGCAAGGGGCGGCTTTCACGAAACACCCTGGGTGATGGGGAGGGGAGTATGTGTAAGCAGCAAGCGGCATGCAGGTGTCAATCAATCAATCAATCAACAGATCCATCGTCATCATTAGTGTGCACTTTGTAGTGTGCACTTTGTAGTATGCACTTTGTAGTGTATGCTGTTAACAGTGCCTTTGTAGGCTTTGGATAAAACTGCAGACAGGCTAGTATGTCACGTGTGTTTATGGCAGCTGACATGGTTGGCCTGGATCTTGGTGTCTTCTCAGTACATCCAACATGAGGATGAGCAGCAGACCCCTTATTGCCCCTAGTTACCCAGCAGCTAAGACCAGCACATCTGGGTGATCCTGTGGATGAGGACTGACACCTGCATTCTCCCCCTCCAGCGCCATCACCCTGGACAACACCCTGGTGATCCTGTCCACTGTGGCCCCAGATGCTGGCCACTACTACGTGCAAGCGGTCAACGACAAGAATGGGGAGAACAAAACAAGCCAGCCGATCACGCTCTTCGTCGACAGTGAGTGCCAACAGAGTACACACACACAAACACACTCGCACACACACACACAGTAAAGCAGCCACATAGTCCAGGCGTATATACTCACCCACAAGGTCCTGAAATGTGACATCTCCAGCTGGTGTATTGGGACTCCAGATGGAAGGTTCCAGAATGAGATAACTGTCCACACACCAACACTATTCAGCCCCTCCCGAGGGGCAGGTCCTGGTCACTCATGGGTTGAGCAACCTGTTCCTTCCCTCCACACCTTTCAAAGCTCATCTAGAGATCTGACACCTTGTCCCTAAGAACAGAAAATTAGTCTTAAACGCAGGCAAAAAGCCCACAGCACCTAGCAACATAGTTAACCTTCCTTGTGAAACGTTCCACGGCGCATGGAGATAGACCACCTTGGGCAGACCAACCATGAAAGAGATCCAGAATGGGATGGAGACAAAGTGAGGTGCCTCGCGGGGCCTGGTCATGTGGTGCCAACCCGACTTCCACGTTAGCCTGAAGGGTCAAGGTCTCCAAAGCTTCCGTGAGAACCAAACACTCCAACTCCAAAACTTGCCCTGGGAGGAGAAAACCTTCCTCAGGCCTGATTCTCCTCCCTCATCTTCCCGCTGCAGCCGGAGGGACACGTGGGTATGTCAGCGTTGCCCCCGATAAATGACAAATGTACCGAGGCAGTAAAACACGGCTTAATGGACGAATCTCACATGGAGGTTCGGGCTAAATGTCTCCCTCTTTATCAAGTTTAATCTGCTTTTGTTGGTGCAGTTTTTGGAATTTGAAGGTTAAATTCTTGGCAGAACACACAGTGTTCGACAATTAAAATGTTTGAAATAAATCTGACAAGGAACAGACACATTCTTGCACACACATATATGCTCACGCACACACACTTGCGATGAATGCATTTGTGAGGCAGGGATTGAGGAAAGAGAGGGCAGAGAGTCTGCTTCCCAGCTAAATAAATGGCCATTTAATGTAGTACACCCTCTCAAGGTGAGAGCTGCACCTGGAGAGGGTGGCACAGGGGGGACAGGAGGAGAAAGGAGGCAGCAAAGAGGAGAGGCAGAGCGAGCGGGATCGGGCGATGGGCAATTCATTAGGCTGCTGTGCCTCACGTTGACTCGCACATAATTGAACTGCTTATTATTTTACCACCAGGAAGCTATTTGTTCAGCCTCATGTCCTCTGCATGGACAGCAGAAGAAAAATGTGCATACAGCCCGTCTGTAAATTCAGAGGTACTTATTAGCGTGGTGAGGCTGGACCCGGGTGACTCCTCCTGCTCCCCCAAGAGGAGGAGTCACTCCTCAGGACTCACTTGATCCTGAGTCATGGCTCAGCAGTTCCGGGTGCCTCGGGGCTCCTGGGAAAGGTGGGCCCTGGCGCTGGCAAGCTGACGAGCCTGTTGTTACTTTGTGCTTTGCTGAGAACCGCGGCCCCTCTGAAGTTAGACGGGAAGATGTGAGTTGCGGGAGATATTTTCTCTCTCTCTTTCTCTTGCTTGAGGCTTCCCCGTTCTTTTCTCTCTTCTCCTCTTCATCTCTCCCTCCTTCTGTCAGTAGCGTGAGGCGAGCAGCCCAAAGTGCGGGAATCTGTCGTGAGGAATCACACGGGCTGTGGTGTTCATGACAAACCGCGAGGCCCCTTCTCACGTGGATGCCACTGAGCGGACATCATTCACAGTGCATCGATAGCCTGCCCTGGTCCTGACTCTTTGCAGGGCAAAATAATGGGCAATAGAACATGCTGAATAATGAAGGTGTCTGCCCCTCCCCCATCTCCTGATCCAACGCAACCTGACTGATGGTTAGTAAAGCAGTTAGGGTTCATGAGGAGAAGGTCCGCTGCATTCCAGGAGATCAATGATGATCATGTGATCATGAACCTCTGAATAGGTTCAGATAGTTTGTGCGGACATCCGAAAGACGGTCCAGTTGGTGAGAGTCCCATGGGGATTTATGTAGGCTGGTTATAGATGTTAAGAATCGTCCTTGCGAGTCGGACTGTGTCACGCTCCGAAGGATGAGTCATAGCACTATGCAGTCTGGAACGAGCAGATTCCCAGCAGGTGCCTGTGAAGTTGAAGCCTGGGTATTTGTGTGGATGAGACTCTACTCCTAGTTGTCCGCCCTACTGAATATTGTCCTCCCACAGTGCTGTGTGTCTGCATTGAGCTGTCTGTCACATGCACATTGTCATGCTGAGGGTGCACAATACACGAGTAAGAACCCAGCCAAGATGGGCACTTCAGAAAGCATCTCGCTGCTTTCGAGAGCTCAGCAAAGAGTAACAGAAATCATTCTGGTCTTGAGGGGCCGGAATATAAGGAAAGTTGAGAAGTTCGAATTAATCTTTATTCTGAAGCATAGGGAACAACAGTGAACTGTAGGTCAACAGTTTCAGCCACTTCAGTGTGAGAACCGATTCCAAAACAAAAAACAAATGCTTACTAGTTGGCAAGGTGCAGATTGCATCTTTGGAATATGCTATCGGATAGGGTGTGCAGCCGGCACCCTTAAATGAATTAAAATCTGCGCAGATATAAGTTTGCCGGCATATAAACTGGAGGTTGCTTCCAATCAAGTCAATCTGAATGACCTCATCTTGTCATTAAAGCTTCCAGAGTTTCTTGAGCTTTTTGAGTGCAGTTCCTGCATCCCACTGGATGGTGGGACCTCAGCTGAGTCAGCACTCTTCCCAAAAAGCTGATGCACCGAGTGCTTCATGCTTGTCCTTGCGGTCGGTTACATGTCTGCAGTACGTGTGACTCGAAACCCAAAAAGCCTTTGAAAGATCACTATTGCCACACTAGAGGTCGGCCTCACTTGGGCAGGCCACACTGGAGTCTCGATTTTGTCACCCTAGATGGGTATACTTGTTTACATGAGTGACATAAATCCTCACTTTTCTTCTTGCTTTTCCTCTGCCGTGGCTGTTAGAGAATGGGTAACTGTGGCTGCACAGCAATTTCTCGACATGACGGCATGCAGCTTGCTGTGGAAATGAGGTCAAGTGAGACCTTGCTTTGTCCCAAGGCGGACGCAGAACAGGGGCTCGGTCCGGTCTCCCAATGGCTGTTTTGGCGGTGTGGGTCCCAAGGAAGCACTTGCTCTATTCCTTCGTGTGATGAATACAGCACATAGCCGATGGATTTACAGGGCAAACACGTAGAATAGTTTGGAGCAGGAGTTTACTTGATCTTTCCAGGGACATTTCCAGTAAAATGTATGCATAAAAATAGTAACATTTGAAAAACAGGTACCGTGGGCTGGTTTCAAGAAAATAAATATCAACTAATTTAGCAACTTGTTTTTTTCTGGGGGTGGGATTATGACTCATTAATTGCTTTAATCAACATTAAAATACTCAAATAGTGCCTGTAGGGAACTTTATATGCTTGCCGTTTGTTTGCCATGTAAGTCATGTTTTCCTGTTTATTCACATACATTTTTACATTGGTATCCTTCGTTTTGTCTGCAAAACAAAGATGTTTTGACTCCCCCTGTTAGCAGGGAGGATCCATAGCGCCAAGGCTATACTATTAGTCACACTAATGTAACCAGAGGCGGGTCAGGTGTACAAGTAGGAAGGTGGTGACTTGGTATGAGAACATTGTGTTTGAGATAGTCCTGCTCATTGATCTTCAGCTCACTGCAACCCCGCAGGAAACCTTTCCATCCATCACCTTTTATCACGGTCAGCCTGTCACTCTGCACCATCTTGCCTGAAGCCGTGACCAAGCTGAGATCCTGGTCATGCGGCGTCCTGCTCAGGCCTGGTACCATTTAACTGGCTACCCACTAGCCCAGCCCCTCCGCCCCCCATTACCCTCGCAGCTGAACCCTGTCACTTACACACACAGAAGACTGCAGCACTAGGGAATATTATCCCACAGAGAGACATGGACTTTAAGACACACACACACACATTACAATACAGGACTTTTGGCATTTTTACTTTTTTGATTGCATTCTGAGATTTTTATAAAACTGAGGTTATCCAAATGGGGACCTCAAAAGATGTCCCCAAAAGTCTTTGGGGACAATTTGGTCCTCAAATGTGATCTATGAAAACCCACACACACACATACATATACACACACACACACACACACAGACACACATACAGACACACACACACAGACATACACACATTGCAGTCACAAATTTTTATTAAATTTAGGTTATCTTTGTGAGGATCAAGAAAATGTTACAGAAAGTTACAGGTTTTTAACACATTGTGGGGAAATCAGGTCCTCACAAAGTAATAATTACAAACACACACACAAACAAACGCACACAAAAAAACACACACACACACACATACACACACACAAAAAAAAACATGTACACACCCAAAGAGACAGGTTTTCACACTTTCTTCCCTTGTTCCCTTGAAGATGTGGGGGGGCCCGCAGATCCCATCGCCCCCACCATCATCATTCCTCCCAGGAACACCAGCGTCGTGTCCGGGACGTCAGAGGTGACCATGGAGTGTGTCGCCAACGCCAGGTGGGTTCTGCCCTCCATTTCTCTGACTGCTGTCCATTATGGGGCACAGATGTACTTGCTGGAGCTGGTCCGGCCTCCTAATGACTCCTGAAAGCCACCTTCTGGAATCGCCGTGAAGAGCAGCCATGTATGACACGCAAAGCGGCCTAGCGCCAATTAGCGTAGCGCCGACAACCGGCCGGTTTGACAGTCTGACGAAGACGGACCTGACAGCTCCGTGCCCAGCGGAGGCCCATACGGTGTGGTGAGGGAGGTCAGGAAACAGCTCTGCTCCGTGAATGCTGAGCGCTGTGGCGGAGGAGCTGCGAGGGCCACTTGGCACATGAGCTTAAGCAGACAAAACAAGGCCTAACTTAGGGCAGCCTAGCCTAGCTTAGCGGAGCTTGCAACAAGCGAAGTGTAGCGATGTGCGACAACGGGAAGGCAAAGGAGATGCTGCGTGTGGAGGGAGCTAGCCTAGCCTAGCCTAGCCTAGCCTAGCTACGGCCACGAAAGCTGCTTCAGAACAACAGCTCCTGCATATCCCCCCCCCCCCCCCTTTAGGCCACTCATCAAGCTCAGCATCACCTGGAAGAAGGACGGCACCCCCGTCAGCAGCGGCCTGAGCGACTTCAACCGCAGGCTGACCATCATCGGCCCCGTGCTCGGCGACTCTGGCTTCTATGAGTGCGAGGCAGTGCTACGCAGCAGCAGCGTGCCCTCTGTGGGCGCCGGGGCCTACCTCCACGTGCATGGTATCCGCCCGCCGCCCGCCGTTAGCGACACTTACAGTCTGGGCATGGAACTGCAGGCCACTGAATGTACTGAATATATTGTTTCCTTTGTAATGCTAATGCAGGTAGATACATGAACGAGATATTAAAGGCTCATTTTCACAAAGAGGCTTACTGACTTGTTTGGCATAACAATTAAGAAAGTTTTTAAGAGCTTTGGATGCCGTAAATCAATTTTAGCTTGTAATGAGTTTTCGGTTGAATAGCCAGTTACTGTTTTCCCTGACTGATATGCGGAGGGAATTTCAGGAGAGAAATTTCACACTTTACAGCCTAATTCTGTTTTATAAAATAAGCATTTAGGATGCGTGAGGGATTGGGGGCGTGTCTCAAAGAGAGGGGGCTCATCTCATACTGATGGCAGGCTGCTGTCTGACCCGGTACAGAGCCACCGCAGTTCGTGAAGGAGCCAGAAAGGCACATCACCGCGGAGATGGAGAAGGTAGTGGACATCCCCTGCCAGGCGCGAGGTGAGTGTGTGTGTGTCTGCGTGTGTGTGTGCGTGTGTGTGTGTGTATGTCTCACTACTCCTGCTCACTGACCCCCTACTTCTACACCCCCTGGGTCAGGTGTCCCGCAGCCCGAAATCGCGTGGTACAAAGACGCCGCGCCCATCAGCCCTGTGAAGACGCCCAGGTACCGGGTTCTGGCGGGGGGCAGCCTGCAGGTCAACGGCCTCCTTCCAGATGACACCGGAATGTTCCAGTGCTTTGCTCGCAACCCTGCCGGGGAGGTCCAGACCAACACATACCTGGCAGTGACCAGTAGGTCCCCCTCCACCCATGTAAAATTTCTTCTCCCTCCCTGGACTGATAAGTTGCTGGGTTTGCAGCACCTCTAAATCCACAAAGCATCAACTGAACCATCGTGAGCAGTAGCTGAACACTTTGGAGTCATGATTCACTTGGGTTTTGCCAGAAATTGAAATGTCTTAAGAAATATTTCCTCTCCCCAGATTCCCATGTCTGTCAGGTGCATCTCCTGTCTGGATGGGATTCCGTGTGCACGGGGGAATTTCGTGACTCGACTGTGTGTGTATATGTGTGTATGTGTGTGTCGGTGTATCTGTGGGGACCACCCCCGTTCCCTTTCTCTCGTTCCCTCCCCCTGCCTCTCTCTCCCCGTGTCTCTCCTGCATGCACCTTACCTAAGCTCCTCCCCCCAGGCATAGCCCCCAACATCACGGCGGGGCCCTCGGACAGCACCGTCATCGATGGCATGTCCGTCATCCTGCACTGTGAGACCTCCGGAGCCCCACGCCCCGCCATCACCTGGCAGAAAGGTGAGAGACATTCCCCCCCATGTCGTGGCAATGCTTTGAACGTCGACATAACAGATACCATGACATATTTTTAACCCCCCACCCCAGGTGAGCGTGTCCTGGCCAGTGGCTCGGTCCAGCTGCCTCGCTTCACACTGCTTGAGTCTGGGAGCCTCCTCATAAGCCCCGCCCACATCTCCGATGCTGGTACCTACACCTGCATGGCCAGCAACTCCCGCGGCATCGACGAGGCCTCTGCCGACCTGGTGGTCTGGGGTGAGGGGCCGCTGTATTCTATGTGGGGTTTTTCTGTGTCCTGTTTAGACAGCCCTCTGGAGCTTCTCTCAAAATCCCGTTCCCAGCTCGAACCCGCATCACCAGCCCGCCTCAGGACCAGAGTGTGATCAAAGGCACGAAGGCCACCATGACCTGCGGGGTGACCCACGACCCCAGCGTTACCATCAGGTAAGGGGGCCACCCTTTTGCTTGTCCAGCTGCCCCCCCCACAGGCCCCCAGGCTCACAGGCCACCATCGTCACCCTTTTGTGTCACCGGGACGCAGCTGCTGTGCTGCCGGAGTCCGCGTGTGATTTATTTGGCTGCACTCGGGCGTGCTGGATCCGCTCACTGATTCGGTAAGGAGTAAATGACGAAATGAAAGAGTAATGGTCCCGGACACCATCTTTCATTACAAACAACGGTAAGGCGATTAACCGCAGAGCACCTACAGCTGCAATTAATCATCGAGGCCCAGCCTGCACGCGCGCGTGTATGTGTGTGTGTATGTGGGCACATGACAGGGAGTCGGGGAAGACAGAGAGCAGCTTTGCACTCGCCCGTCTGGTCCCTCGTCTGGAAAATTCATCCAAACAAATGGGGGGGGGCAGGACATTATAAGGCCTTTCGTTTATTTATTTATTTAGTTTTTCTTTCAGACATTTTAATCTGGAGGACACTCCAGGGCTTCATTACACTAAAAGCAGCTACACTGAGCATAAATACACTGAACACAGCTATTCTCAGCATGATTACACTCAACACAGCTATTCTCAGCATGATTACACTGAATACAGCTATTCTAATTCTGAACATAAATACACTGAACATAGCTATTCCGAGCATGATTACACTGAAACCAGCTACAATGAGTATAACTACACTGAACACAGCTATGCTGAACATGATTACATTGAACACAGCTACTCTAGGCATTGAGCAACTGAAGGTAAGCAGTTGTCTACAGTGGGGGGAGTGTTTGAGCGATAGGAGGAAGGTGTTGGATCAGTAACTGCTTAGCATCCAGTCAGTCCGCAGGTTACAGAGAGGAAAGTGTTTCCAGTGGCTCCAGCTCAGGGGAAAGAAACTGTCCAGGTGATGTTTGGCTTTGCAGTGACCCTTTAACTGAAGTGAACAGACTGGTCATGGATGGGGTGGGAAGGGTCAACGGTGATCATTTCAGCTCGCTTCTTTACTCTAGAATTTGATGCAGGCAGCTGATGGCCGTCTCTGTGACCCATGGAGTAACTCACTGGAGCTTGCCCTTGGCCGGGGAAATTGCTGACCCCCACCGTACTATGATGGATGCTGTAATTGTGGGGGGATTCAGTAATGGCAGTGTAGAGCTGAACAGGTTTAGCCTGACGAAGGTTAAACTTCTACGATTGTTGGAGATAGAGCTCGTGTTGTTGAGCCTTTTTGGTGATGAAGGTGGTGCTGTCATCCCAACAAGTAAGTCATGTGATGTATAAAGGCAGTGCAAAGGCAGCTTATTCGCTGACTTTAGATATTCCATCTGTTAGTCAACCAACCTCTCTGCCACCTACTGTCCATGTTCAGTATATCACATTTTCCAAATGGGCAATCAGCACAACAAGTCAACCTAATATTATGTGGTTTGGTCATGTATCATGTCTCTACCCCCTCCCCAGGTACGTGTGGGAGAAAGAGGGTACCGTCATCAGCACTCAATCCACACAGAGGGTTCGTCTGGAGCCAGACGGCACGCTGCACATCTCACAGACATGGTCCGGGGACATCGGCACCTACACCTGCCGAGTCACCTCTGTCGGGGGCAACGATTCGCGCAGTGCTCACCTCCGGGTCAGGTGAGGCCACTTCCACTTTTGGGTCAGCTGTGGCTTCATCAATTGTATTTATCTCCCACAGGGAACGAAAATCCTGATTCTGATTCAGGTAGAGTAATAGGCAGCTCATCTTGCTACATATAACTACCATCATTCCCCACCTTCAGTCCGTCACTGATATCTTACTGGTTCTCTTTGCTCTCTGTGCTTGTTCTCCATCTGTCCCCATACTTCCCAGTGCTTCATTTTCTGTACCTGCTCTCCATCTGCACCTGTACCTCCCGATGTTTTGCTCTCTGTACCTGTTCTCCATCTGTCCCTGTACCTCCCGATGTTTTGCTCTCTGTACCTGTTCTCCATCTGTCCCTGTACCTCTCGATATTTTGCTTTCTGTAGCTGTTCTCCATCTGTCCCTTTTTTTCCCGATGTTTTGCTCTCTGTACCTGTTCTCCATCTGTTCCTGTACCTCTCGATGTTTTGCTTTCTGTAGCTGTTCTCCATCCATCCCCATACCTCCCAGTACTTTGTCTCCTTCACGCGTGGACTTGGTTTTCATCTGTCATGCGCCACCTAATTATCTTTGTTCGCCACCTGTCCGTTTCCTTGGCAACCTCCATGGTCCATGGTGGTAGTTCTTTCCTTGTCTCAATGACCCCCTTGACCATCCACCATCCTGCCCTCTCCGTGTGCAGTTTAACTTTCAATATTCTCATACTAAGTCATTACAGGAGTGCTACCAGTAGTAACAGGGGTATCAGAACAACACCCTAACATATCAAAAAGTATAGTAGATTTAAATGAAGTAAGTATGCCCCCCAATACAAGATTGTCATTCTTTTTGGCAAAGTAAAAAGATTTTCTACTGCAATACAGCTAATGCTACACTGTAATGTACCGTGCCGTAATTTTGCTACTATACTATACTATACTATACAATGCTATTCTTTGTAATGCTATTCATCACAGTGCTATTTTATAATATGCTCTGTAAAGCTATACCTTTGTTTTATAAGCTATGATATGTGAGGATGCCTTAGGGCTCCTGACATGCAGATTTCTTGTTTCTATGTCCCGCCTTGCTTTTGTCTTTCCCCCACGTACTTCTGCAATAGAAACAGATCTCCTACTCCGTGCTGGTGCTCTGTGATGCAGCTAATCGCTCATCCAGCACCTTGTTGATACCGTCCTTGTGACTTTATTAGTACAGTTTTCTCTCAGGGATATTTATCCCTTGTTAGCTATTTGGTGCTTTTTCTCTCACACAACATAGTAATGTTCTAATTTATTGTTTTCTTCATTTTCTTTGTTCCAGTTAGCCATGTGCATCATATTTGTTGTCTAAATCAGTTCTGTATATTTTATCATATTCATTTGTCTTAATTCCTAGTTTATAAAGTTGTGCTTCAGGATCTTTCCCTGCTGTCTCCAATTTGTTCATTCTCTCTTTATTTCGCTCCCTCTCTCTCCGTCACTCTCTTTCACTTTCGTAGGCAGTTGCCCCATGCTCCAGAGAACCCAGCTGCCCAGCTGAGCTTCACCGAGAAGAGGGCCATCAACCTGACCTGGACTAAGCCCTTCGACGGCAATAGCCCCCTGATCCGATACATCCTAGAGGTGTCAGAAAACAGTGAGTGCGAGTGTACTGGGGATGCTGGGAGATGCAGGCAGAGATAGACACTGGACATGGTTGGGTAGAGATGAGGTGACTGGAGACGTAGGAGGTGTAAGAGACAGCATAGGGACACAGTAGGAGTGAGGGTGTGGGATCTCAAAGCAAGGAGTGTATCAAGGTATTTAAGCAAGTGTCCTTCCATGCCAGATGCTCCATGGACTGTGCTCCTGGCCAACATTGAGCCCGAATCCACCGCCGTGACGGTCAGCGGCCTCATTCCTGCCCGCTCCTACCAGTTCCGCCTATGTGCAGTCAATGATGTGGGGAAGGGTCAGTTCAGCAAGGAGACAGACAGGTAGGTCGGCTGTCACATGTTCTGCCACCGTCGGTGTCTCAGACTCCTTGCCACTCTCCAATTATGCCTGTCAGGGGGCTCAAAACGACAGCGTGAGGGACTCAGTAAGACAGTGGAGCTGATGATTCACCTGCTTATGAGGGTAGTTTGGTGATCAGGACACGACGCCCAGTTACTCCAGATCTCTGGGGTCTCACACATATCAGAGCTGTTGGATTGTATTTTCACACGGCCCAGGAAACTCCATGGGGGGATGGGGGCTTCATCTGGCCTCTAAACAGAACAGACTGTCTCAACCTACAGTATTGTTAACAGTATTGTTATTACCCACTATTTGTGACAGGAAACAATACTCTCCCGGTGTCGGGATGGCCAGAATTTCCCTTGCTGAATCCTCCGTAGGGGGTCTGTTGATCTCTCCTGCTTTGTCCCTATCAGAAACAATTACACAGAGGGGTTCGGTTTGTGACAGGTACAACAAAGAGGGAACAGGGGAGGCAATATCCCTGTGCAGGTAGAGCGACAGGCACCATGTTAAGGCTCCAAGGATCAGTGTCCTTCTGGAAGTCAGGCAGATCTAAAGATGCTTCTCCCGCTGCCGGCCCTGTCTCTACCTTCAGGGTGACCCTCCCCGAGGAGCCGCCCAGTGCCCCGCCCCAGAATGTCATCGCCAGCGGACGCACCAACCAGTCCATCATGATCCAGTGGCAGCCCCCACCCGAGAGTCACCAGAACGGCATCTTGCGGGGGTACATTATCCGGTAATGTCAGCCTGCTGCGTGACTCATATTGACGTTCCCAGCCCATCATGATACAAGCCGAATTAGCATACCAATGGCAACCCCTACCGAACTTTGCCGGTGGAGGAAGCACTGCTGGTGAAGATTGCTTAGGGCTCCACTTGAGCTTCCACCGGCAGTGATGCAAGCACACGGCAATCAGTAGGCCCTGCAGGTTTAATCCCCAGGACAGGTCATTCTGTACCTCCCAGCATGGCGCTTAACCTGAGTTGCCCTATTAAATACCCAGCAGTCACCTGAGATAGATTCTCTGCCGAGTGAGAGAGTTAATAAATAATGAGAGGTATCAGTCTGGTGTCACCAACCACACATTCATGTCGCTCACTTCCAGTCGGCTCTCCTCCCCATCACGTGTAAGCAGGGGGTTCCCCTGTTTGGTTAGCCTTATTAGAGGCTCGTAACCCAATGTCACGCCCGTCCCTCTGGGTCCTAACCCCGGCCACTCCTCACAGGTACTGTCTGGCCGGGCTGCCCGTGGGCTACCAGTTCAAGAACATAACCAATCCGGATGTGACCAACCTGCTACTGGAGGACCTCATCATCTGGACCAACTACGAGATCGAGGTGGCGGCCTACAATGGGGCGGGGCTGGGCACCTTCAGCCACAAGGTGACGGAGTGGACCCTGCAGGGAGGTGAGGCGCAGAGAGCCGTAGTCGAGTCTTATAAAGGGTTCGGTGACGATCATGCAGAGAGATAATCAGAATCTGGTAGAAGAATCAGTGATAATCAGTCTGACAGAGGAATCAAAAGAGTATTTGGTAATGAATCTGCACATCCTCTGTAGTGTACTGTCTCTGACATCACAATGCATTACACCTTGCGTACTCTGTGAAGTACTACCTCTGACATCACAATGTATTACACCTTGCGTACTCTGTGAAGTACTACCTCTGACATCACAATGTATTACACCTTGC